CAGGCAGGGAGAGTGGCTTGTGAGCTGGCCGTGGCGGCTGTGTTCCTGGCAGGGAGAGCGGCTCGTGAGCTAGATGGCCGTGGCGGCTGTGTTCCTGGCAGGGAGAGCGGCTCGTGAGCTAGATGGCCGTGGCGGCTGTGTTCCTGGCAGGAAGAGCGGCTCGTGAGCTGGCCGTGGCGGCTGTGTTTCCAGACTGGTTGTCTAGGCATGCTCTTTATTTTATATTACTTTGGCACATACATGTATATGCATAGCACTCAATGAGAATTGTTGTCTGCATGTGATGCATGTGATTTTTAGTCAGGCAGGCTTCAAACATCATCATTTCTATCAACCCATCCTCCACAAAGATTTCTGGTTTAATCTTCTAGTCTTCATTTCACCAAGAGAAAATATAATACTTTGATTTTACTTTAATATAGGTTTGTTTATGTTTTTGTGGGTCGTGGAGCTTGAACTTAGGGTCCTATCCCTGTGCTCTTCAGCTCAAGGCTAGCACTCTACCACTTGAGCCACAGCGCCACTTCCGGTTTTTGGATGGTTTATTGGAGATAAGAGTCTCATGGACTTTGCTGCCTGGTCTGGCTTTGAATCACGATCCTCAGATCTCAGCCTCTTGAGTTGCTAGGATGACAGGCGTGAGCCACCAGCGTCTAGCACTTTAATATAGGTTCAGAGAAAAGTACTAAATTAGATTGGCCATCTGACATGAACTACCACTCACTCCATCGGGGACTGTTCCACAATGGGGTATATGCATACATAGCAGGGGGGTGCTTTTTCTTAAAGGTAATATTCGCTGGCAGTAACTCAGATAGACTCTTTGTCTTTAATATGAGTAGCACGCACCTATACCTCCCATGAAGGACAAACCTACTCTCTTGACTTTAACAGAATCTCTGGTCCTTACTGTGAAGTTTGCTCCCCTCTGTGGCTCTCCCTTTCCTTTGATCTGCAGTAAAGTACAGGAAATTCCATTCCTTTTTGCATCCATCCCTGGTTTTGTATAGTGACCACCTGAAGCTTCATATTGTGTGACGCTGGGCCCTATTCCTTCGTATGGAATGACATCAGTGGGACCTCAACACTTTCTTCAGGGCTTGGGATCACCTTTTGCATTATGCATCAGAAGTTGTTGCACCAGTGTGCAGCCCTTTATACTTTTAACACACTCAACTTGTTGTGCCAGGCCGCAGACCCCCAAAGACCACCCAGGAGCCAAATCTGATGCCAGTGCAGGAGAGCCGTTTATTGCACGCTGGAGCCTGGACTCACGATCGTCACCGACGCAGAGTCAGAGTTGAGAGCCCCGACCACATGTTCAGCAGGGCTCTTACAGGGCTTCCAGCAGATAGAACAGGGCTTCTGCATAATTGATCAGCATTTCTCAGGCAAGTTTTGGGTCGCCCTGACCCTGCAGCTGCTTCCACCAGCTGACCACCCCGTCCATTTTCCAGTAACTGAGGTTGTGTTTCTCACCCCTTGTCTCCCTGGGGTTGCTAGGGGTATAATTGCAGTTTCCACTGTGGACTTTCCAAGAGCCTTCCAGGAACTGCTTGGTCCCTTACGCTTCACCTGAGGTCAGCTCTACAGTAGACGATGGCTTGCTTTTAGAATGGAGTTAGCTTAGTCCTTCAAACTGAAGGGGTTGCTCATTAGTCTTCACATTGGCCACTGTAATACAAGTACACTACAAGCTCTTATTCTGTGTTCTCTTTCCTAGCTAACACTATAAAGGATTTCTCAGAAAATATAATCTACTGTTTTGCAGAATATGACTTTGACGAGGGTGTATAAATCATCAACTTAATTTAAAATAACTCTTTTATACTATCTTTGATTTTTGTGTATAAGCTCCAGGAAACAAATGGAACATTTCTCTCTTTATTGGTCTGTGTGCGTAGGACACAGGTGCTGGTTTAACTCATCAGTCCCGTGTTTCCTTCTAGGACTACAATGATGAAATCCGCCAGGAACAGCTGCGTGAACTGTCCTACTTAAATGGCTCAGAAGACTCTGGTCGCGGCAGAGGCATTAGAGGCCGAGGGGTCAGAACAGCGGCTGCCACTCCTTCCAGGTATGTTAGCTCTTATTTAGATATCAGTACAGGATGAAGGCAGGCTTTTGATGGCCTTGCTGGGTCGTGAGTGCAAACAGGAATCAATAATGGCGTTGATGCTGGCCATCACTGCAGCAGAAACTAATTGCAAGTGCTTAGGTAGCCCTTAGCAACACTTAGTAACACTCAGTGACCACACACCCTCCACACACACCCCTCAGCTCGTCTTTTGTGCATGAGATGACCAATTTTTACAGGTGAGAAACTGAGGTACAAAAGATTATGGTATTCTTCCTAAGATTATATATAGATAATCTGACTCTAGGATTCTTGACTTGAACTCTTAATCTTTACCCTTAGAAAACAAAGCAGTGGGGCTGGGAAGGTGGCTCAGTGGTAGAGCGCTTGCCTTGCATGCATGAGGCTCTGGATTTGATTTCTTAGCACCACATACACAGAAAAAGCCGGAAGTGGCGCTGTGGCTCACCTGGTAGAGCACTAGTCTTGAGCTGAAGAGTTGAGGAACAGCACTCAGGCCCAGAGTTCAAGCCCCATGACCGACCAAAAAAAAAAAAAAAAGGCAGTAAGCTCAAATCTTTCTATTTTTTATTTCTGTGCTAGCTAGGGCACACAAATGATAAATCCTTGTGCCTCTTTTGCATGAAGGGAAAGCTATGTACTTAATCTGTGCTTTAATTAGGTGATCTTTGAATTGATATATGTTTTGTGGTAAAAAGGTAGGCAGACTGGAATGCAAGCAGATTGAGAGATGCAGGTATAGATATAGTAGCATACGTCATTATCCAAAAAACTACCACAAGCTCTTATATGATTCCATTACACTTGACTTTCCAAAATCCCTAGTGATCAGAGAGAATCTTAATGGAATTTTGTTAGTTTTGCGCAGAAATTAGAAGCTTTTTTATTAGAATTTGTTTAATGGGATTCTGACTTTATCAAAGCTACAATGGATAACATTAGTTTTCAAAGAAACAAGACAAAAAAGGATGCTCTTACGTAGATTGTGATTTATTAGTTCTCTTTGTCCTATTATTGCCCTTTGTCCTTTAACTCTCTAATGGACATACATCCCGAATAACATTTCACTTATCGCATAGAAATTATCTTAAGAGATGCTAAGATACCCTGAGGATTTAATTGTTTTCTTAAATTTACTTGAAAAAATTCAAATACCATTGTAAAAATACCCTTCTTTAAAATTTTAATTATGACTACTTTATAAGTTTCAGCCTATCATGTATTTTATAGATCAGATAGAGAACACATGAAAACAAGTTAACATCGAAGATTAAACTTCACTTCCAATTCTGTATTGATATTTAACAATACTAATGTTTTATTTTTCTGTTTATCTCCATTTGTTTTTTTATTGTGAAAGTACTGTACAGTGGAGTTACAATTACATGGGCAATATTAATGTTTTTAAAAATAAATGAAACAGAACTTTTTGTCTTTTTCAAAAAACATAATATATCTGCAATTAAAAATTAACATAGAAATGGTTTTATATGCAAAATCATTGATGTGAAAGCATTAGAAATGTGAATTGATTGATGTTAATTTGTATTATTTATAAATTACTATCTCATGAAATTATTCTATTATGTTACATTCAAGTATTATGCTTAGACTATTTCAAAATATCAATAACAAATTATTGAAATTGTACTTAATGAAAGGAACTTATTTTCAATAAATGTGTCTATGGTAATGGTCCAATTTTAAAATGCCATCTTCACCAGGGAGCCAGGCTTTACACTACCTGCTGTAGTGCTAGCTAGATTACACAGTTGAGTGAGCATCTTCACCAGGGAGCCAGGCTTTGCACTACCTGCTGCAGTGCTAGCTAGATTACACAGTTGAG